TTTCATCTCTAGTTCCAGATGCCTTTATAACCTCTGAGATTTCACTGCTTTTTAACTTTACATTGTTGTATGTCACAGTCTTCCACCCTTTGTGATATCAGGCAATTTTTTTTTTAATTGCATGATTGTCCCATTAAGAAATACATTCAGCAAACTGTCCTGTTGGCCCTGGGAGCCTGCAGTGTTTTGTTCATTGCTTCAGTAAGTGTGTGTTGGCACAGCTCTTTTCACAACAATGGAACAACTAAAGGTCTGGCTTTCACCCATAACACACTATAATTCCCTATTCATAAGCTAAATTCCTCTTTGTACAATTTGTAAATTTTTTTTCATTACATATGCTGGTTACATCTCAGGGTGAATCAGTCAAATGGGCTCTAAATTAAAATAGTTGGCTGATCTAAGCCCAAGGTCTGTTGCAATGCAGTTTTCTCACAGCTTGGAAGAAAACAACCAATATAGCCACTATGGAAATAGGTGATTATTCTTTCTGTCTGTCTTTTTCCAGGTAACTAAGTAGATGAATGTAACCTAAAGTTTTAATCTTCTAGGTAATTAGCAGAAGTAAATGGAAAGGAAAGTCAATAAAGCCTGTGTCCCTGAATAGGTCACGCCAGCAGTCAGGATGTCACTGTGAGGACAGGAAATCCTTAAATTAGAATCATCATTTTAAGCTCTAATTTAATCCATAAACTAGAGTCAAAAGTGCTTTAGAATCATACACACATATTTCAGTGGGGCTGTGAACTTCACAAAAGGCACAAGCATATGGACAAGAGGCTTGTTTGTCTTTTTTTGTGCCTTTTCTTGCCACTTTCAAAATAATCCATGGTATTTTTGGAGGCTGAGAAAACAAGGCTTCAGAATCTCTACATTAGAGAAAATTCTGGGTTTTTGTAAACAGAGACAAGTGAACTCCAAATTGAACTTAGTAGGGCAAATTCTGAAGTGCTTTGGACGATGGGAAGTCCAACACCCAACACACTGGGCTTGGAGCTGCTGAGTTTAGATCAGTGACAGATCTGACCCAAAGGTTTGCCCTTCTCCTCACTGGAGAATGAAGCTGCACATCCTCCTCTCTTGGTGGCCACCATTATATAGCCCAACATTTGCTTTTTAAATTCAGCGGAGGAGAGGAGAAACAAGCTAATCTCATAAAGGTTCACCCCACCCTCTGCTTGGCTTCTCTTCCTTGGCAAGCCTTCCCAGCAGCAGCTGGCTGCCTGTTTTCCTTCTGCAATCGTGCTCATGACATTTCCTGCAACTAGGTTTTCCTGAAGGTTTCCAGCAGTCCTTTCAGCTCACATCCCCCTTTTTTTGGCCTCCTGACCCCCTCACCATGGTTTGTGCCTGGTTCCCAGCAAGTACCTCGTCCCCACCACACATCCCTGCACATCCTTTGTAAGGTCTCCAGGCATACACTGGATTTCTGGGGTTTGCTTGTGAGTCTGACTGATTCACTGAGAGTAAGTGGTTACTGTAAGGGGTGCTGAACAGCCGTGATGTAAATAGAGACAGTCATGGAATCATTAAGCTTGGAAAAGACCTCCGAGATCATCGACTCCTCAAGGTACCTGCTCCGTCAGACAGACACAGACTTTGCCCTGTTTCTTGGTGCCAAGAGGTTGCTTTTCTCTTTTAATGTAGTTCATTTTTTTGAGAAGCTGTACATGGCCCTCTCCAGGCACAAGGACTGGTATGAGGAGTGTAGATGAGGGGGAGCTCACGCACAGATCCTGGATTATTCAGTGTGCTGGTACTTTCCCTCTCCACGCTCCTGAATGCTTCATGAACTGTCCTTTCACAGGCTTTTATAAACACTCAAGTGACTTCATCTTTTAGTGTAAAAGCCTACTTGTATTTTAAGCTTTCTGTTATCAATGTCATTAAATCAATATTCTCAGCTCTACAGGATCCAAGTCACACATAAGCTGTCACACAGAGTTTAACTTAAGAAGTGCAGTATTTAGGTACAGTGAGTTTGTTTTTCATAGAGTAGAGAGTACTTTGAAGTAGAGCTGCTGAAGATCAGAGGGAGTTTATTCCTGTAGCCAGTTTCTTATATGTTGGGGACTTTCTATTCTAATGATAGTTTTGTTGCACAATTTCAGTGAAGTTTGAGAAGATGAACATTTTATGCAGTTATCATAAATGTCACTGGGAAGCCTTATGAAGACTGTGTCATGGGTGATAAAACATGGGACATATTCTTTAAGAGAAATAAAAAGGCAGATTAGTATAGACCATTCTTGTCCATTTTTAACCTATTTATCTATTTATTTATTATTTACCTATTTTTTCCATCTGGGTACACACACAGCTCTGGACAGGTCAGAGGCTGCATGGCCTCACTTGGTGCAATTCACTGGATAATGAGTGACATCTGTGGTTAGAGTCAAAATGGAGAAAAACAATTATTTGTCCCTTGCCAGAGATACATAATTGAGAGTAAAACATACATCTGGGATTTATTTGTGTAAAAAGATATACAACTGCAATACTACATCTTCTTCCAACCTGACCCTGTGGTGCCCTTTCCATTTAGTGCATTAAGAATCCAGATTTATCTAGAGATGTCTTACAAATCAGAAATGACAGTTATTGTTCCATCTTAGCTGTGATTACAGCAGACCTTTCCCTCTTTTATCTTTTTCTTTTTTTTTTCCTTTTTTTTTATTAGCCACTGTTTGTTTGTCCTAGAAGTGAAATAATTTGTAATACAAACTGACTGTAGATCCTTCCAATAGCTTACTTCAGAAAAAGCGTTGCCATGATGGACAGAACCTTACACAGCACAACGGGCAAACAGTGCTCTTGCTGCTGGTGAAACAGAACGAGCTCTGCCAACAAAACTCCAAATTAACTGAAGTTGCAGAAGGCAGTTTTCCAGCCATGGGTTATGGATCATTAGCCTTCTGCAGCTTCTCAACTGCTGCTCTTCAAGATTGCTCTGAGCAGCGAGAGGTGGGATGAGAGAAGGAAGCAGTTTCTGAAAGGCACTGTATTTTGTAGGTGATTTGTGATTTGGAAGGGGTGCAGGACCTGCTATTGTTACAGGTGAGGCTGTGGCAGGGCCCTTTCTGAAAGCAGCCAGAAGGTTGAGATTGATGGATGTAGCAGGGAACGTAACACTTTGATCCTGGTGCCTGGTACAAGGGCTTCACTGGGCAGAGAGTGTTGGGGAAGGCCTTTCATAGAATCATCGAATCATCAAGGTTGGAAGAGACCCTTAAGATCATCCAGTCCAACCACCAGCCCAGCACCACCACTGTAACCACTATAACCCCTAAATCACATCACTCAGTGCCAGATCCAGATGCCTCTTAAACACCTCCTGGTGACTCCACCACCTTCCTGGGCAGTCTGTTCCAGTGCCTGACCACCCTTTCACAGATGAGGAAGGACTCCCCTGTTTTTACCATTAATTAACATCATACACTTGCCTTTGCTACATCTCCCTCACCATCCACAGCTGGAAGGAAAGTGGCACAAGCAGATTGGGGGTTATATCAGTGAGATATTTCATGGTGGTGAGGGTTGTGAATCCATCCCATTATCCCTTCCCAGTGTGAGGTTTTAGTGTTTGCTTTGCTCCCCTGGTGAAAAAGGGCTACAGGATGCCAGCAGAATCCAAGGGGAAGGTAGAGACCCTCAGCAGGTGACAGTCCTTCCCCTCCACAGAGCACCTGACCTGCAACCTCAGCTGTTTCTGTGACCAAGGCTTGGGGAAAACAGGGTGAGGCCAGGAACTAGAAGTTTTGTCCAGGGATGTGCTCAAGCAGATAAGAAAATTCCATTTATTCTATCCAGAGGTGTGGGTTAAGAAGAAGTAAATGTCCTTATCTACAGCATAGCTCCTTGAGGTGTGTGGAAATCCAGTGTGAATGTGTGGGTGCTGTGCAGAAATGCTTTATCATCACTAGTGAGGAGGCAGCTGTGCTGCCTCGTGCCTGACACTCCTTGTTGGACCTGGGGGAGAGGAGAAGGAAAATTGCACGAGGAACTTCTTGTTCTTGGTTGTTTCAGCGTGATGAGGTGGTGGGGTTTTTTTTACCCTTCTTTCTCTAAAACAGGAAAGCCATACTTGGTTATCTTTCAGCTTGACAGCAGAATTGTGTTGCAATAATCCCTGAGCTGTTGATTCACCAGTGATTTGTTTATGTTGAAGATTCTTGTAATTAAAAGATTGCCGTAATGTAGGGTCCACACAATGTGGACTTTGGGGATTTATGTATTAGAAAGGGTTGAGCAAATCCTGGAAATCCTCTAGTTTGCATATTTTGTCTGTAACAAACTATTACTTCACTCCAACATAATTTGAATTATTTTGTCATCAAGCTGGTGTAACAGAGTGGAGAATGGGGTCTCAAAGCTTCTTGAATATAAGAGATTGAGTTAGTTGCTAAATCTGTTTACAGAAGATAGAAATTATGTCATTATAATGCTGAGGTGTGTTAAAATAAAATCTTGAATTATGACATTCCTCTTTCAGTTTGATTGTACGTTTTAAAATAATTGCTATTGTGGAAAGAAAATGTCTTTGAGTTGGTCATTGTAATGCACATATTTCAATGTTATTAATCCTAAAACGTGACATTTTTATTACCCAGTGAGAACAAACTATGAACAAACCCCAAAGAAGCCAAATATATGCCAAAGAATAATGCTGCAGTCCTCCAAAAATTAACACATGTATTTGTGTTTATACACAATAAATAATCCTGGTGTGCTATTTACTTAAATGGGACAGAGATTTCTCACTCAAAGTGGTGTGAGTTTAATCCCAGTGTGTAAAATTAAGACTGAATACCAGACTTTGAGTGTTTGGAGCTTGTGTTAAAGCTACGAGGGCTGAACAATTTTGCTGCCAGCTGTGGTGTGTTAATCTACAATGAGTCTCTTGAAATTATTATAGCACTGAGAATTTAAAGGAATTGAATAGCAGAATTTAGTCCTTTTTAAACATTCCTTCAGGGTTTGTATTTTTTTTTTTCTTGCAGACGCCCAGACAATACAGCCAAGCACTAAACAAGAGTAACAGAGTTCATCTTTACTGTGCATTTCTGGACTATAGGTATGTTACATAATTTCAGATTCTCTAACTTGCTTTAATTAAGTTACACTTGGTTAGTGATGCTGTGTATTACCTGTACCCTTCTTGTTTCCCTTCATTCATTCAGTTGGAAAATGGGAGCTATGGAAAAGAAGAAATTTTTTTTTTTTTTTTTTTTTTTTTTACCTCTGGATACATTTAATCTGGTTTTGATTTTGAAACATGCTGCTCTCACTGAATTAATTGAGAATTAATACAAATACTAAATTTTGAATTTGATGGGGATTAACAGTTTTTGAGCTTTAACGGTATAAGCCTAATTTATGTAGCAACAGCCCACACTGCTGTGATCCCTCCTATCAGCTTGCACTTGGGAAGGTCACTGTAATTGTTTTATTGAAGTTTCCTTTCGAGCGTGTTGAACTGTCCCAGCTGTTGGCAGTTACCTGTTGTTATGGTTACTCACAAATTACAATAAATTAGAAACAGATTTTACTGCAGCAAATTAATATGGCTGCAGCATTGTTCCTGTGCTGCTTTCCACGGGGGCCTGGGCCCTTGAGGCTTTGCCTCAGGGTAGAGACTTAAATATGAAATCTGTCCTTCCAAATGAGTTTCATTTGTGTCAAGATAGTCTTATTCCCTAGTGCATGGTAGTTAAAGAATAAGAAATTAGTTTGTGACCTACAACAGACTCTCTTTGAGAACTGAAGGAGGTCTCAAAGGACAGAAGTGTGAGGTAATACCAATCTTTAAAATAAGCACCGAGGGCAATGCAGATCACTCAGTCCAGCTGCAGGACTCAGAACAATATCAAAAGTAATAAATAGTGAAGATCAGGTGGTTTGGGTGGGTGACTGATGGTGCCTGAGCCCACAGAGCACCCAGAGACCTGTGCCCGTGGCTTCTATGTCTCCACCCCACTTTGGGACTGTGAGATAAGACACGCTAATTTTGGGGGGTTTTGCAGGATTAGTGACTTGTTTGATACTACAGTTCTCAGAATACAGAAATTTGGGTCAAGGTGAAATGCCATAAATGAGATGCACAGTGTAAAGGAAAAAAAATGTAGTTATCATACACTGACTATAAAACTGGGAAGAAATCTCCAGAAACATTCGTGCAGGGGACTCATCTGCCCCTTGTCCAGGTCAATATTTTCCTTAACTATTTCCATGATGGAACTGAGAAGGTACTAGCGGTGTTTGTGGATGCTGCAGCCTGAGATGGCTTTCCAAACTTTTTATTCCCCTGTATAGTACAGTGCATGTCAAATTAACCTGCATAAGAAGCATTTTGCTAAGAGGTTGTGTTCCATTTTTTGTGTTCTTTGCAGCAATGGAACCGGTGTTTGGTCCAACGAAGGCTGTGTGCGTGAGAGTGGGGACCTCAACTACTCGGTGTGTCTCTGCAACCACCTCACTAACTTTGCCATTCTGATGCAAGTGGTGCCTCTGAAGGTGAGATTAAGCAAAGGAATAAATCTATCTGTTAAAAATGAAGCATAAATATATTCATTTCCTTCTCATGTCTCATCAATTAAGTGACTGGAACAGGGCTCATTTGTATCCAACTCAGATTTATCCCACATCTTGCTATCTGGTGTGATGTTTCAATATTTGTTTGTTATATTTATGTTTTAAAACTTTTGGGAACTGAAATGAAACATGCTTGTGGTAGGTCAGAATCCTCTTTGCCTTATTCTCACTGTTTGGGCATGATTTTTAAAAGTTCTAGTCAGGAAAAGCACTAGAACATTATACAGGTGACCCGGGCTTTTATGATTCATTTTCAAGACAGAGACAGCTGAGATGTGACTGTTTAGGGTTTTGGTAACCAGACTTGTGGAATATGAACATCTGAGCTCGCACTCCATGTGAAGTGAGCTCTGCTGCCAGCTGGCCCCTGCTCTCCTCTCTGCCAGCTTTCCAAGTGTCTCCCTGTTGCTGCTTCTTCCTCTTGTTGCCAAGCAGGGGCTTGTGTAGAAGGAGCATGACAGGCAAAATAGTGCTTTAGAGTTGAGAGTGAACCCCTGATGTAGTTTTCTCTATGCTCAGTTCCTTTGTCTGAAGAGTTGGCAAGGAAGCATCTCTTCATCTGGAACATGACTCCTTTCTAGTTCACCCAGGACTTTTGCTTCAGATGAAATTTTTATGGCAAACACGTTGCTTTTCACACTAGACTTGGTCTTCTCTTCGTGGTGCAGAGATGGAGCAGAGTGTCTGCTCCTGGCAGCGGAGGTGCTGCTCCTGCTGAAGGACTCCCTCTCCAAAACTCAGCAGCAGGCAAGGTCAGCCCCATCCTGGATCTTAGCAGCCAGCCAGCCAGCACTGCCACGAGCATGAGAAATGTTTTTACCACTTTATTTAGGTCTGCTTCTGTCAGGGAGGATTCAGTGGAGATAGTGATGAAGCTCTGCTCTGAGCAACCCTCAGTTAATAAATAATGAACGTGTAATATAAATAATTTACCAACCGCACATTTAAAGAAACGTATACAAATTGTCTGTCAAATTTATACTCTCTGGCACATTCTCAGTTTTCTACAGACACTATCCCAATAATATAAATTAACAGGCTGAAGAGCTTCAGTAGGACTCAGTAGGACTCCTACAGCCACAGCTATTCCTGTGTGCTGTAACAGGAGTGGTGTCCTCTGTGGTGCAGCTGGAGGGGTTTTGTCAGTGCTGTCGGCACTGACAGTCCATTGGCTGTATGGCCATGTCTCAGGCTCTGCTTAACTGATGGGTTTGCTCTCCTTTTAGGCAGGAGCTTTGCCAAAAAATCACCTGCTGCAGGATGGGCAGCCTAGGCTGGTGAGGGCGGTGCAGGTTCCTGCAGATGCAGGGGTCAACCTGCAGTGCAAGGGAACTCTGACCAGGGCTACACCACTGAGCAGCACCAAAGTCTTTCCAAGGGCTGGCTCATCCCAGGTTAGAAGCTGCTGACTCAGTAACACTGTCAGTACAACTGCTCCCCTGGTAACTCTGCTCAGGTGGTGTGTTGTTGTCAGTCAGGGTCACAGTTTAGATTAAGGTGGTCTGCTATCCACAGAGCTTAATTAATACCCACAGCCCTTGTATTAGTCTGACCATTTGAAGGGGGTTGGGTCATCTGGGTTTTAAGTAATTTTATCTAATTTTTGGTCTAATGCATTTACATCCACCAGAATTTGTGCAGAATAATCTTGTGTTGTTTTTTCCTCCTTTATGATACAAGGAAAATCTCATCTCAAATCTTTGTCCAGGACATACCCTTTAAATTGACCATTTAGGATTATCTTCAGGTATTAGTATTTTAATTAGTGAAAACCATTGTTATCTTCATTGGATTCGGCAGGAAGCTGAGAGTCAGACAAAGACAGGCTTCCTGGCTTTTGAGCTGTACAAAAACACTGTGCTCAGTTACAAATTCCTGAAACATTCCCTAAGTATTTGCCTCAAATGTCTAAGCGTTAGAGCCTACTGAATCACCCACACAACTGGAAACTCCTCTCAGGTGTCCTTGGAACCCTCTTAAGTAAATGTTGAAATGCTGTGGATTTTAAGCACCTATTCATGTTATTCACCGCGTTCTGAAATTCATGAGCCGAGGTTCAAAGGGCCCATTTGAATCACCCGTTGGAATATTAGGTTGTCAATGCTCTAAGAAATTGTTGCAATGATGTTATATTTGATCTTGAACTTTTGTGTGTTTTATTGTTCTCGTCATAAATGAAGTGCACAGATAATATGAGACAAGTAAAAGAGAGAGTAGGAGTATATGCAGTTGCCCACATTTGAACACTTCTGTTTATATGGCTATTATATATCTGTGCCCATATAAATAGAAATGAATGAAATTTTCCATATGAACACTATTTTTGATGGCATGTTTATTTTTTTTCTTACGGAAAAGGGTCAGTTTTTCATAAAAAATGTAAATAAGTTGTTGGAAATGAATTGCCTGAAAACTGCAGTGTTTTTCATCAAATGCTATATTTTGGTACAAAAAAAAAAGTGAATTCATTTTTCATGGGAATTCTTTGAGTGTTTTACGCTTCCATTCTCCTATGGAAAGTATAATTTCCCTTTCTCTCCATCATACTGATAAATGCAGCTCTCAGGGGAGCAGCAAGAGTCAGACATCCTCTCCAAGGGCACCAGAATGGCCTTTAATGCAGCAGTCAGTGGAACAGTAAAACCAGGTATGAATAGTTCTACCACTCCTTGCAGAAAGGCAGGCAGCTGCACAGAAAACAATTACCAAAATTAAAAAGGGCAATATTGACAGTTGTAAAGGGTTGTAATCCAGACCAGTACATACACAGCAGCTTCAGAGCTGGGAGAACATCCCTAGGGAGGGCACTGTTGATGTGGAAATCCATGAACTCCGGGGACCAGCTCAGTGTGATAAGTGTTCTCTCTCCGCTCCTTCTCACATTGATTTCCTTTCTGCTCAGATAAAAAAAGAAAAAAAAAAAAGAAAAGAAAAGAAAGAAAATGCGTATGCATTCCATTAATGAGGCACTGCAGTTATTTGGAGTTTGCTGTTCCCATCTGGAGAGCACGGCATCCTCACGGAGTGCAGGACAAAGCCAGGGTGTCTCCAAGCAACAAACACCGACAATAAGTGACCTTCCTCAGAAGTGCCTGCTCTGCCACATGAATGGGTGTGGTGAGCATTTCTAAGGACCAGAGAGCTGAGCTTGTACCAGAGCTGCTTGTCAAGGGTGGCGACTTTTTCTTCCGAGTTACGTTAAATACCGACAAGAATCTCCTTGCATAACTCCTTCTCTTTGTTCCTTCCCGTACTCAGACCTGCCTCTTTCCACTCACAGAACTACAGCAGGATCCTGACCTGCTAACCCTCCCTGCTCCTTTTCCCACCTTCACCAACATCCACCAGATCACTCTTCATATTTGTGCATCTCTTGTGCACATAAATCGCTTGATGTATCCTCAATATTCTTTATCATTGCAATTTGATTGTAAGGTACAGAACTATGATAGTAATTTGTGCACCTGGCTCGGGGAGGAATTAGATTGTCTCACATGGATTTCATTTTGTTTCAGTGAGACATTCATAGAAGAAAACTGTAGGGTATCTTGCATCTGATGGTGCTTCCTCTTGAACACTTGAAATGCTGTGAGCTGAGGGATGCTGAATTGTTAGACATTTATGACACAGGCTGTCAGGTGGGTCTAATTTCCAGGGAGCATAGAAATGCAAGAAAGTTCTTAGGGACAAGCTGTGAGTTCTTGATTTTTCTTCTTGATCTTTACTCAAAACAGGTGAGATTAATTCAGTCACTGTTCTACTGTGTGCCAGCTGGAAGTAATCCCCAGAGGCTGAAATCTGCTGAGATGAAAAAGTGTTTTTATTGCAATATTCAGAGAAAGAAATTGAAAGAGAGCAGGCACAAAGAAAAAAAATTTAAATTCTGAAATTTAAACTCAAATGTGACAAAATGAACTTTCATATCTGTGGGCTGTACACCAGGATGTGAAGAAGAAGGACTTTGAATGCCGTGAATTTGTTAAAACTGAGCTCAGATTACAAATGTGGTTGAGCACCACTCCAGGTTTTATATAAGTTTCAGCAAGAGCTTGAAAGCTCTGGAGTCATAATGACTGTGAAAGAAGGGTATGAACAATGCTGCTGATGAGCTCGGGGTACATGTGTGCAGTTGAGCTGCTTTCAGGGATGCAGGGGGATTAGCAGTTGTAACAAGTTTATTTCAGGAGTGAAAAAACCATCTTGGAAAAACTTACAACCATGTGGTGCTCAGATGTCTGCCTGGCACTGACCTGTCGGCCTGCTGATGAATTGGCCCACACGGAATGCTGAAATTATTTGTGTTTTATCACTCTGCTGTTGTGTCTGCATCACGCCTGGCCCGAATTCTTGCTCGCTGAGATTCGTTTATCTTGTTGGTTTTCACTTGAGAAATTATAGCATTTATTTTGAATTTTGGAGATTAATGGTCGTGAACCGGTTTAACCAAATAAATAAGTTAATTGAAGGTAAAATGTGACCCAAGATGAGCAGAATGTTCCTGGAGGGACATGTTCAGCCCTTGATTACTTTTGTGGAGTTGCATGGATGTAATTAAGGTCAGCACACGAGCAGTATTTGGAAACTTGGTTGAGAACTCTTTTCACAAATGTGATCAAGTCAGTAAAACTGAGAATTATTCAACTGCACCTGCCCAATAATGAGTGTCAGTGGGATGTTCAGAGTAGGTGTGCTATCGACTGATCTGTCCACCCTCCTCTGGGAAACTCCTTGCTCTGATCGAGCTTCCCTTTCTGATGGGGGAACCTGAGGGAGGGCAAAGTCCCTGGGGATTCAGGTCTGTCCTTCTCTTTCCTTGATCCACAGACCAGTGTTCCAGCTTTTCCTTCATCTGGTGCAGCCAGAGCAGACCTGTGCTGCCAGCACCCTGCAGTGCTGCACTTAGGGAGGCACTGGTGCACTAA